CACACACACACAGTGTTCCTCTCACATCCAGTCTCCCACTGTGTCTGGGCTTTCAGAAGACAGACACAGGGGCTCTTGCATTGTTCTAAACCTTCCCTCTTCAGGCAGAAAACACTTCAAACAACAGTGAAAGGTTTTGGGGGAGGGGAGTTCCAAGAGGGACACTGAGGCAGATTGCTGGGAAGTGAGTTTATTAGGAATGTTATTAGCAGCACAGACAGACAGAGAGACAAGAGGATGGCAGAGAAGGGAGCCTCTGGTCCACACCCTGCAGCTGCAGGCTCTGATTCCCAGGCAGGGGGCAGGGCATGGAGTAGGAGACAACATGTGTGGCCCTGTGAGCGAGGGAGGCTGCTGCAGATACTGTGGCCTAGGCAGAAGCTGGATTCTAGCGCTGCAATTCCACACAAGGTAGAGCCGTCCAGGAAGCTCTCCCTCTCCTTGTCCCTTCATGTCTACTTGCTTTTCCCGTATTGCACGTGTCATGCTTTGTAAACAAACATTTGTGTGACCATAGTGCAGCATCTGTCACAAGCTCCTCAATGCAGAGGTCCCGGGGAATGGGGAAGAACCTGCGTCCAGGGCTGCTGCTGTGGTGCTGGTAAAGCAGCTGCCTATTCAGGGAGGTCTTGAGATTGTAAAATGAAAAGCTGCGATAGTCACTGCTCATATTCAATAAGGAAAAGAAATGTTTCAAAGGTCACTGGCTTAGTTACTCTTCTATTGCCATGAGGAGATGACCAAAGCAACTCTTACAGTTTTGGAGGATAAGTCCATAATCATCATGCTGGGAAGCAGACAGGCACGGCACTGCAGCAGAAGCTGAGAGCTTTACATCCTGATCCACAGGCAACAGGCAGACAGAGACACTGGGTCAAAGGCCACCCTAGTGACACACCTCCTCCAACAAGGCCACATCTCCTAATCCTTCCCAAACAGTTTCATTCCCTAGTGACCAAGCTGTCAGCTATATGAGCCTGTGGAGGCCATTCTCATTCAAACCACCATAGCCACCATGAAGCAGCTAAGTGGCAAAGGAGGATGGGAACCCCTAAAGCTCATAGCCAGTTCTTACCCCTCCCATTTTGGAATTCATTTTCTCCACAGATCCTTCGGACCTAAGTTCTACAAAGGACCTGGGGTCAAGAGCCATGACACACTGTCAAAACCTTGCCTTTGTGTGGAGAGGGATCCAATAGGATACATACATTATATACGTCATATGTATTTTGTGTATATGAGTCACAGTCAGACTGGACATAAAAACCTTTTAACTAATGGTGGGCCTCATAGATGACCGTAGTCCATAAGCTTTAATTGCTCATCGTAGTTTGTGTGTGCATACTCTGTGATGTCTGAACAATGACAAAGTGGCCTAAAGATGAGTCTGTCAGATGTATTTCCTTCATATAGTGTCACATGACTCGTATGTGTGTGTGTGTGTGTGTGTGTGTGTGTGTGTGTGTGTGTGTGTGTGTGTAAGGGAATTAAATATAATGAACCAGAAGGGAACAGAATAGGAATGTGGGTTGGAGCCAATCAGATGTGCAATTTCACATCAGGCTGGGATATCCCTCAGTGGTAGTGTGTTTGACTAGCATGAACAAAGCCTTGGGCTCAGTCCCCAGCACCACAAAAATAAAATAATAAAATAAGGTTTTTTGTTTTATTAAACCAGAGAGATGGTTCAGTAAGTAAAGAGCACTGAATAAGCCTGAAAACCTAAGCTTAACCCCTGGAATCCATTGTGGAAGAAGATAACCAACTCCCCAGAGGTGTCCTCTGATCTGCACATATGTGTGGTGTCGTACACATGTACACACACAAACACACACATATACACACTCATACATATGCACACACACACGTACAAATGTCCAGCATGGCTGGAGCTAGAGGAGCACAGGGGATCAAGAACAAAGAGACCTGGCAATGTGCGTGGAGGCTGTCCATGACAAAATTTTTATTCCAAGCAAGATGGGCACCTCTGGAAAGATTTACACAGAGATGCTGCAGGATATGCCTTTGAGCAGAATTACTGGGGTTACATGAACATACATGGGGGGAAGGGATAGGGGTAAACATAGAAGCAGGACCATGATTTCCGTCCAGGTGAGAGACAAGGGTGGTGTCTTCTAAGTCTGTGTCAGGGAAAGTTGGTGTTTGAAGAATGACATCTACATCTGTGCTGGGGATCAGCCCCAGAGACTCACGAATGCTAGGCAAGTGCTTTCCCACTGAATTACACTCCAGCCTTGATTTCTGTATCTATTTTGAAGAAAAAGCCAATAGGATTTGCCAGCAGATGGGGTGTGGGATGAAGGAGCTGTCAAGGTTTGGAGCCTGAGTAGCATTCTAGGCTGGAGGAATATAGACCAGTCATCAGTATGAAAAATGGTCTTTATACACCAAAGTAGATGAGGCCATCATGAGGGCAAAGGAGGAAGGAAGCACAAAGATGAACTGTTACAGGTCTGTCTGATGTGTGCCACATCAGCTACGTTTAGAAGTCAGAGGAAAGAGTCGGAGCCAACAAGTGAGATGGAGGAGGACCAGGAATGGAGGAACAAAGTCAGGTGTGCCATGCCAAAAGCCGAGCACAGAAAATTTCACAAAGAGTTGTTGTGGAATAGTCTTTCTGTACACTGTGAAGATGTGTTGCTCTCACTGGCTTAACAAAGATCTAAATGGCCAATAGATAGGCAGGAAGAGGTTAGGTGGGACTTGCGAACAGGGAGAGAGCTCTGGGATGAAGAAGGGCTGAGTCGCCAAGAGACTCTGGGAGAAGGAAGATGAACATGCCATGTTAAAGAATGGTACCGAGCCATGTGACAGAATGTAGATAAGAAATATGGGTTAGTTTAAGTTGTTAGAACTCGTTAGTAACAAGCCTAAGCTATCAGCCAAGCACTTATTATTAATAATAAATCTCTGTGTGGTTATTTGGGAGCTGGCTGGTGGGACAGAAAATTATGCCTACAGAGAATATTCCTAAAGAGAAGAGAAGGCAAGAATGTAGAAGAGACAGAAGAGGGTTTAACTGAGTAGGAGGTGGAAGCTGGAAGAGCAATATAGGTATTTTCAAGGAGTCATGATAGCCAAGAAAATGATGGGGAGAGAAATGGGGTCACCAAAGAATGCTTTGGGGAGGTAGAAACAGCACATTTCCATCCTGAGAGGGAAATCCTGTCATGAAAACACTAAGGCTCCATGTTCTGTATGGTCTGGGGGATGATTCTGATAATTGTGCTCTCCATTCCGAATGAGTTTCTTAAGTACGGCAAGCCAAAGTAAAAGAGTAAACAGCAAACTATCATCAAATTGGTGCTCATATGTCTATCAGATCTAGGAGTTCCTGGTAGAGCTTTCTCTCCATGGCTGAACTCCCCAAGGCAGAATTTCTGGCTTCTCTCTCTCACTGCAGGCACTTTCATATCATGGGATAAACAATACTGGTGTTTGTTGGAAATGGTTTACCTTTCAGCTGTTTTCAAGGACATGATGCTTGACTGTTGGGCTTTTTTTGCTGTTATCCTTGTCATAGAGTTATGGGGTCAGCTCATCCCCTAAGTAAACACACAGAGGCTTATATTAATTAAAACTGTTGAGCCATTAACTCAGGCTTATGACTGACTAGCTCTTACACTTAAACTCAGTCCATTTCTGTTAATCTATATGTTGCCACATGTTCTGTGGCTTTACCTGTGTGCCATTACATGCTGCTCCCTGGATGGTGGGATGGAATCTCCTGACTCAGCCTTCCTCTTCCCAGAATTCTCCTCATCTGCTTATTCTGCCTATACTTCCTGCCTAGCTACTGGCCAATAAGCATTTTAATAAACCAGTGTACAAAAGCATTATTCCACAGCAGGCAGCAGGAAGAGAGAGAGAGACACTGGGCCTGGCTTGAGCTTTTGAAACCTCAAAGCCCCACCCCAGTGACACACTTCCTCTGATAAGGCCACACCTACTCTAACATCCTAATCCTTTCAAATAATGCCACTCCCTATGAGCCAATGGGGGCCATTTCCATTCAAACCATCACAGTCACCAGGGAGTGGAAAGAACCCTTCGATAGGATTAGAAGGATTAGGAGGTGTGGTCTTGTTGGAGGAAGGGTGTACTCAGGGTGGGCTCCGAAGTTTCAAAAACCCATGCCTGGCCCAGTGTTTCTCCCTGCTTCCTGTGTGTCAGGATGAAGAACTGTCAGCTATTTCTCCAGCACCATGTCTGCCTGTGTGCTGCCAGGCCGCCTCCCTCCCAAGGTTAAACCTCTGCAACTGCAAGCAAGCCCCCAGTTAAACACGTTCTTTGATGAAAGTGGCTGAGTCATGATGTCTCCTTCCAGCAACAGAGCAGTGGCTAAGACAGTAACTAACTAACCCGTGTCCTCTGCATGTGCAGGAAGTGCTCTCAACCACTGAGCCATCTCCCCAGCACCTAAAATCGTTTTTGTTTTTTTTTTTAAAGACAGTCTCATTGTCTAGACCAGACTGGTCTTAGACTCACAGAGATCAGCGAGCCTCTGTTTCCTGAGTACTGGGATTAGAGGCATGTGCCACCACACCCCTCACATAGATTTTGGTATTCTCAACCTGGGTCTGTAAGTTCCTGGAATCATCCTTACACTCTATGCAAAATAAGTCACCGTGGAACCTGAGCACAATGTGTCCTAAGGCAGTGGTTTCTCAACCTTCCTGATGCTGCGACCCTTTAACACAGTTCCTCATGTTGTGGGGGTCCCCAACTATAATATTATTTTTGTCGCTACTTCATAACTGTAATTTTGCTACTGTTATGAATCATAATGTATATATTTTATACTAGGATATCTGATGCTCGATTCCCCTTCAAGGGATCAAGACCCACAGGTTGAGAATCGGGGCCCTAGAAGCTCCAGCGGGCTTTTTGAATCTTCAGCTTTCCTGTCACGGGGGCGGGGTTAGACGCTTGCGTCATCTCCACGGCAACGACTTTGCTCCTGGCGCTTCCCGATGATGCCATCACCCCACGCCGCTTGGGTGACTTAAGCTTATCCTCAGGAGCGGGACTCCGCAGGTGTGAAAGAACATGGCCCGGGACACTGCGCATGTGCCGCCTCAGGTCGGTGCGCGCTGAGCTTCAGTTCGCAGTCTAGGGCGAGCGCGTCTGCTGAGGGGAGCTGACTCCTTTAATCTTAGCTGCAGAAATCACCCAAGATGCTGCAGCCTCTCTCTGGCTTGCTTTGAGCCGCCTGCGGGCGATACCCGATTAACTGATGAGTGCTCTGCTCATCTTATCGCTTCCATCTCTTGGCGCGCCTCCATCATGCCTAGCCCGTCTGACTGCTGGATGAATTCACAAATCACTGTTGCCAGCAAGCTTTCTTTTGCAGGCCGTCTTCCTAACGTGCTTCCTAACGTGTGGGCTGAGGAGAGCCACCGCCAGGCTTTCTAGAGTCACAGGTAACACTGAGAACCTTGGCTATGTAGTGGTCCTGGCAGGAATGAGGATATTCTAAAGAGACACTGGTGCCGGCCAGAGGGGGCCATTGTCTCCCAGAGAGAGAGTCCACACAGCTCTAACGCCTCGCAGATGGCCTTGCGGAAGAGACTGGAGAGGATCACGGGTGGGACCACACTTTCTTGGGGACTGCTTAGTTATGCATACCTCTCGCCTCTTGTTTAAACAGAAACCTCACGTTTGAACCCTCAAGATGGACTTAGAGGGTCACAGGACCTCTTTGTTCCTCTTGCCGATGTGGCCACGTTGAATGAATCTCCTTTTTCTGCTTTTCACTATTATTTGTTTCTGTAAGTGGCTTATTGAGAACAGGATGCTGAGTCTAGACTGTCAGGGCTGCCAGGACCCAGGCTCTGACTCTGACAGTGCCAGTAACAAAAGAGCATCCATTCTGTGTTGTGCATTTGTGCAGAGAGTGCTGTGTGTGTGTCTCCTGTTCGGTGGCACTGTCTCTGTCACAAATGATAGCGCAGTTGGTTGAGTAAGTCAAGAAATATTTATTGAGCACCAGCTGTGTGCTGGGCAGTTTATTTCTACTGAGCCGAAAAAGTGTCATCCAGGACCTGGCAGGGAGCTAGGAACTGACTTGCATTTGAATCTTAGCCCTACTTCTTCTTTTTTTTAAATTGAAAATAGATTATTTTTCATACAATATATTCTGATCTCACTTCCCCTCCTCCGGCCCCTTCCAGATCCTACCCATCCACCCAAATTCATACCCTTTTTTTTTCTCTCATTAGAAAAAAGAAACCAACCAGGTACATAAAAATAAAATAGAATTAAAACAAACAGACCAGAATAGGGACAACACACACACACACACACACAAAAAGCACAAGAAGCTGGGCGGTGGTGACGCACGCCTTTAATCCCAGCACTCGGGAGGCAGAGCCAGGCGGATCTCTGTGAATTCGAGGCCAGCCTGGGCTACCACGTGAGTCCCAGGAAAGGCGCAAAGCTACACAGAGAAACCCTGTCTCGAAAAACCAAAAAAAAAAAAAAAAAAAAAAAGCACAAGAAACACATACAGATGCAGAGACGCACACATCCACACACACAGAAATCCCATAAAAGTGCAAAATCAGAAGCTATAATATATAAGCAAAATACCTTCTACTTCTTACTTGCTGTGTGGTCCTGGGTGAGCTAAGACCCTCTCTGTATGTCAATTTCATGATTTTTAAACATTTCCATAATGTCTACCTCCTAAGGTTACTGGGAACTTTTCCATTTCCTTATATGTATTTCCTTCAAAAAATGGAAAGTGTTGTACATTCAAGGCCAGCCTGCTTTACATAGCAAGATGCAGGCCAGCCAGAGCTACATAATAAGGCCCTGTCTCAAAAAAAAAAAAAAAAAAAGAATAATAATAAAAAAAAACCAACTACCAAAAAACACCATCTCAAAAAAAAAGGAAGGGGGTGTGGGCCCCAACAAACCCAGTCCTTACAGGTGGCCGCCATCACTAAAGGGAAATCAGTCCCCTGTTCAGCACAGGGCTCCAGTGGTCACCCACAGATTCCCAAATTACCGTAAAAGCAGCTTTATCCAGACACTGCATTTTGTGAGTCTGCACAGGAGGCCAAGTTCTGTTTAGGCAGAGCGCCTCCCGCCTCATCTCCAGACAGTGGTGGCTTGAAAAACCACCTAAGTCCAGAAGCGAAAGAATGCCTTCCCTTTGCTTGCACGGTGACTTGCAGCTGACTATGGCTGGGAGTTGGAGGGTGGCCTGGAGCCTGGGTTGGGTCCTGCCTGGGATCCTCTCTGAGGAGCAGCCATGTGCTGTCAGGGTCTGGGAGCCCGTGTCTGACTCCTTGTCACCACAAGGCCTGTGGTTTCCAACTCTGTCTGCATCTGAGTCCCACTAACCAACAGCGGGAGAGAAAGCAGACGCGGACACAGGCAACCACACACAGGCACCCAGACGTGCGCAACCTTCAGAGGAAGTGGAGCACCAGATGTTCTGGGTTTCCTGTTCGATGCTTCCACAGCTGGTTGAGTCTGTGGCTGTGGTTTGTCTGTCTCGGGCTCATGTGAGAGACAAAAGCCGGGCTGACGGGAAACCTTCCCCCATCTCTGACTGATCAGTTACACAGAAATCTGGCAGATCAGAGATTTCCTGAAACACTCAGACCTGGACTCTCCCAGAAAGACCTCCAATCCCCCTGCCCCGAGGAGAAGCCACAGGCTGCTGGCTGGCCCTCTTAGGACCTGGGGACAATGGAAAACACTCTAAGCACGCCATTAATTTGGAGGGCCATTCCTGGTGAATAGAAGGAGGTCAAGGCCAGGTTGCTTCAGACTCCAGGCCAGAGCCTGGAATGGAGCAGACACTCGAAAAACACTCAACCATTGCAGGCAGGCATGGTAGTATATGCCTGTGGTCCCAGTACTCAGAAGGCTGAGGCAGGAGGATTGCTAGAACCCAGGAATTTGAGACCAGGTTTCAAGCAGCAAGACCCTGTTTCTGTACTAGAAGAGGGGCTGGGAGAACTTAGTGAGGGAAATTCTGGCAGCACACGAATGGGAACCCGGGTTTTTGCTCCCAGAACTCACATAAAGGCTGGGCATGATGGTGTGCACCTCTAACTCCACCACTGGGCCGATGGTGTGTGTAAGGGGGAGGATCCTAGAAGCTCACTGGCTACTCAGTCTAGCTGAAACAGTGAGTTTCAGGTTCACTGAGAGACTATCTCAATGAATGAAATACGATGGAGAAGCAATTGAGGAAAGACGTCTCAGTGTCAACCTCTGGCCTCCATATGCACCCACACAAGCAAGCACACACGTGCATACCACACACATCTGCATACACTACACACACACACCCACACACACGTGCATACACTACATACACACACACACACACACACACACACACACACACACACACACTCACATACATACACACCCCACTAAGTTACAAGTAATAAACCAAACCACTCAACATCTGGAGGAATAGATGAAGATAGGACATCTGTGTCTCAGAGTCAGCTCCAAATGCCCCGGCTTAGCACCACAGTTCGTTTGCAGCTTTGGATTTTAAGAGACAAGGGTTCGAGGTGGTGCTGTGCTGTTGGTCTCCTGAGTGCAAGCCATTGAGAGCCACGGGCCTGACTCTTAATCTGTGCAATCGATACTGCTTCCTAGGGGGTGCCAAGGTCTCTTGAGACGTGGTGCAAGTATTTGCTTGACACATTGTGCCCATAGCAGCTGCTCAGCAGTGCTGGCTCCCACCCTCTCCTAGCAACGCTGCAGTTTATCTAGGGAGAGGCTACAGAGCAAGCGGTGGGGCAGGCAACAGCTGGCATGATGGTTGCAGGACACCTGCCTGTGGCACAGGATATCCAGCAAGAGTACTATTGTCTGTGGGGGTGTCGTCGTGCCATTCTGGGTCTCTGGGCTCTATAGGAAGCTCCCAGTGACCTCCTCTGGCTGTGGAGGGAGGTTAGGATGGGGTGAGTGTGGCTCAGTGTCCTTACTAATCACCAGTGATTGTCTTTAGTTACTACAGCTACTGTTCAGTAAACGTTGGAACCCAGTGGCAGAGTCCCTTGCCAAGGGCCCCTCCTCCAGCAGGCCCTGTAGGCCTGTTCTTCTCCTGTACCCCTCTCAATGAGATGAGGTATCCACGACATTAGGATACTGCCTCAGTGTCGTCTCTGACATTTACCTGTGCAGTGTTGGGTGAGTTCACGTCTTCTGCCTCTGCTCTTCCTTTTAGTAAAATAATAAGCAAATGGTAGGGAAGCTGGGAAGATTAAATGATGTGTCCAAAGCATCCAGACACAGTAACATGGGAATATGTGAGCACACGGTAAAGGATAAATGACAATTAATTGCCTCAATTGGCCACATAGTGAGTTTGAGGCCCGCCTGGGATGCATGAAGCCCTATTTCAAAAAGATAAACTAGGTCCCTTCCGCCTGTCTCATATTCTCTGCACTGTTTAATGTTCACTGCTGCAAGGAAACACAAAGGAAGACACAGGATTGGGCCCAAGCCTCAGAGGTGTTCCAGAAATCACTGGGGCTCCTAGGTGTGAGCTGGAAACCACTCTTGGGGTGAAGGCTGTTGGCCAGAGGAAAAGGAAGTGGATTGTTTATTTTTCGTGTAAGCCGATCTCTCTCCCAGTGAATGATGTGGCAGACATCCCAGAGTGTGCCACAAGCTGAATCAGTCAGAGAATGTAAGGCAATTCTGCAGTAACAAACAGCCCCTGGGGCTGGGTGGCTAGACACATTAACAGACCCCCGCCCCGTTATAAGTTCCATTGGGTCAGCAGACAGTTTTCCTCCACAGCCTCCCTGAGGGAGCCAGTACATGTATGTGTGTGCATGTGCATGTCTGCAGAGGCCAGAAAAGGGTGTTGGATCCCCTGGTACTGGAGTTATAGGCAGTTGCGAGCCACCATGTGTATGCTGGGAAGAGGAGCTGGGTCCCTGGCAAGAGCACAGTGCTCTTAACCACTGAGCCATCTCTCCAGCCTCGGTCTGTTTTTTTTGAGATAGGTTCTCTGACTATTGAGGGCTCACCCATTACACTAGCCTGGTTAACCAGCAAGCCCCAGGGATCTCCGTCCTCACCTCTCCAGTGCTCAGACTCCAGGCGTGTGCCTGGCTTTTGCTGTGGGTTCTGGGGATTGAACTCAGGTCCTCAGGCTTGCAGGACAAGCACTTTGCTGACCTGGCTATCACCCTAGTCCTGGAAGCTATCCTTTCTGGAAAACCCTCTGCAGGGGCAGTGGCTGAGAAAAGGCAGTCGCAGGCAGATGGGGCGTTTGAGAACACACATCTCCCATACTTTATTGGCCAGACTCTTCGCAAACCACAGCAGGCACACACAGGGGGACGTGAACTTTCCCTGGGCATCATCTTTTCTACTCTCAAGATAGTTCCAGGAGTGAGGAGGACAGTTCGGCTGTGGCCCAGGCTGACCTGGA